GCCCCTATTTCTTCAGTGACAGAACTTGCTTTGCGGTTGCTTGGAAGAGACTCAGTTTGACCAGAGCTAGCGTGCCCGGAACTTGGCCTCAGAATTTGACCCTGCACTGGGCAGCGGCCACGTTGCTCCCCACTGGGGGAGCTGCATGTGCCCTGGGCTCTAGCATTTCTTTGCATGACGTCTGTCCTGGGCTGGATGGAGCAGGGCTTTGTGGCTCGCCTGGTCTCCCCTCCCAGACCTTGGTACACACCAGGAAGTGCTCGATCTGGTTTCAGGAGCTGGGAGCAGTTTGCCGGGCAGCCTGCGGTCAGAGCGGGGCCCTTAACAATGGTCCCTTGTGCACACGGCACATTCCTCCCTAACCGGGCCCAGATCCAGGCCGCTCCTGCTTCAGCCCCCCGTGGTCACGGACAGGAAGGTTTGCATCTGGAGGGAGGCCCCGCTCTGCCTCTGGGTAGCCACTGAGACCGCAGGTGCTTGAGGACAGGAGAGGCCCAGAGATGCTTTGCTGGGAGTGGGGAGGGCCGGGCGTGCAGTTACCCCACACCTCCCAGCTTGTTTGAGCAAGGTGCATTTTTCCAAAAGTGTCAATTGTTTTATTCCCTGAAAACACGAAATGCCCCACATTTAGCACAGGTATCTCGAAACAAGGCAGGAAATTTCGTGCAATGCAGCACCAACTGCCGTTCTATGCAGAGCGTGTGTGTGCGTGCAAACCGCACATGTGTGTATGAAATGGAATTAGGATTATTGTTTGCATCTTGTAGCCTGCTATTTTTACTTAATACTCTCACCATTTCTCATCTGCAAAAATGTGATTTTGATGATGACGCAGGCCTTTGGCATATGGGTTTAGACAGTTTACGTAAACCTGGATGGTGTCCAGTGTTTGTGATTTTAAGGCTGATGCAAGCATCCCGGCACATAAATCTTTCTGTACTTGTGACGCCCCCGTCGGGGTGGCGGCGGGATCTCGTGGCTGTGCGTGTAAGTGCGGGACCCGGGGCATGTTTTTAGGACACTGGTGGGGGAGGGATGCCGGAGGGCCCCGTCCTGCCTGCCTCGCGACAAGTGTCTCCTGATGTTTCCCGGCTGGGTGCTGCTCGTGATGCCCTCCCAGGGAGGCGTTTGCACAGGGGGTGCCCTTTGCAGAGCCTGCCTTGGAATAGGATCGTGTTCGTCGCCAAATATTCCGGCGTACATCGGGAGTGATGTTATTCCCCTGAGGACTTCTGCAGCCATCTGGTCTCCTGTGTGACTCCAGAAAAGGGAAAAGGAGGCAGCTCTGGCTGCTCTACGCTCCCGTGAGCGGCTCTGGACCGGGGCCGGGCGGAGGGTGGTGACAGCACCAGCGGGGTGGGTGTGGCCCTGACCACCCAGCAGCCTGGAGCCTTCTTCTGTCCGGTGGTCCTGTGCAAGTGTCCTGGGGCTGCTGGCACAGATTGCTGGAAACGGGGTGGCCTAACAACGTGCACTCATTCTCCCGAAGTTCTGAGTCCAGAGTCTGAGATCAGGTGTGGGCAGGGCCGTGCTCCCTCGAAATGCTCCAGAGGAGGATCCGTCCTCACCCTGCCACTTTCTGGTGGACCCAGGTGTCCTGGGGCTCGGGGCGGCATCAGTCTCTGCCTCTGCGGTCACCTGGCCACCTCCTCCATGTCTCAAATCTCCCTGTGCCTTTTTCTTATGAGGATGCGTGTCAGTGGATTTAGAGCCCATCCTAAATCCGGGGTGGTCTCATCTCGGGATCCTTCACTTGATTCCATCTGCAAAGACCCTTTTTGCAAGTGGGGTTGTATGCACGGGTTCTCAGCATTGGGACTTGGACACATCGAATGGAGCCACCATTTGACCCAGAGGGAAGTGACACCTCTCGGGCTGAAATGGGGTGAAGATCCGGGGCTTCCCTGCTGTGGAGGCTCATTCTGTGGGCCCTGAGGGGCTCCGGGCTAAGGTTACAGGCTGAGATCCGGCCTTTCGTGAGTTTTCTAGCAGCACCCGAGGCCCTGTGCAGGGATAGGGTAATGGAGTAGCCGACGTCTGGCTCTGTTCCCAGGGATCCAGACACCCCCCTGCAGCCAACCTCAGCGGGTACGATGTGGCCAGGGCGGCGTGGGTGGGGCTGGCGTGGACTGCGCGGGGCCAGGGAGGTTCTGGGAGGAGGCCGTGGGGGGCCTTGATTCACAGGAGGAGGAGGAGGCAGCGGGGGGACCTGCTTGTTTAGGGGAAACAGCATAAGCCAGGGTGGGCACCTCTTTGTTTGGGTGTCACCTTCTTGACACTCCGGCGGGGACGTGGTTTCCTTGGGAAGACGGACGGCCCCAGAGCGGAGCAGCCTCTCGCCTCCCTGCTCTCCCGGCACCGGGTGCAGATCGCACGCCGTGACGCGGGACTCGGGTTTGCTGAGTTCACTGAGCACTTGCCGTCCCGATGGGGGGCGGCTCCTTCAGTGGGCGCAGACACCTGGACAGATGATAGAGCCGACAGCAAGCACAGAGGTCAGTCGCGGGGTGGGGGGCGACGCCATGAAAAGACACGAAGCACTGAAAGGCGGGGGAGGCTGCAGGCTGCAGGGTGGGGGGTCTCTGGCGGGCGGGCGTGCCTGCGCTGTAGCTGCCCAGGGTGGCGAGGGGCGAGCCACACCCACACAGGCACCTGGAGGAAGGAGGGTTGCAAGAGAGGGGCCTGTTTCGGTTCCGGAACGATCTTCTCGTGCATGTGGGTCCGGCTTGGATGCATCCCCGCATCGGGACTGGAGGCTCAACCGAGAGCTGGGACCGGGGAGAGCTTTGCTTTGCTGCAGGGTCTTAAACTGTGAGTCGGCAGTGTGGGCTGGGGCTCCGAATGGGCTCCCCAAGAGGGGCTCTCCGGGACTCCTAGGGACGGGGTCCTCTTAGAGAAACCTGGGAAAATCTTCGCCTGCCTACTTTCTGTTCTCCCACTCGGCCTCGAGGAACTGATGCCGAGAGGGACGCCTGGAGCCGGCCCCTCCCCCAGAGAGCACACTGGACAGAGGCGTGTCATCTGGGGACAGGCTGGACAGTGCGCTCAAGGCGGGGGGTGGACCAGGTGACCTCGGTGGCCCTGGGAATCACACGAGGACACACTCATGTCCAGGCCCCGAGCTTTGGACTTTCTGGCCAGTGTACGTGGGCAGTTAGCGCTTTCTCTGATTCCTTTTAGAATCAGAGCGGGCCTGCACACAGGGTCTGTCTCAGTGACAGCCCCCAGCGAGGGGCGCAGCTGCCCCAGGTCGGGAGCCCAGATCCCTGGCGCAGGGTCCTGTGGCCATTACCACGCCTGGAGGTCGCTGGCTGGGCCCACAGGCCATGCAGCCTCGGATGAGGTGTTGTTCGGTTGTACAGTGTGTGTTTTGCTTTGTGCCAGCATTTAAAAAGCAGGAGACAGCACGTCAAAATCCAGATTTCTAGACTGTCTTGGGGAGTCAGAAGCTCCGGCCACGCTGGGCGGGAGTCCCTGCAGGGCTGAGCCGGCACCGGGCAACAGGTGCCCCTGGAGACTCACAGATGTGCGTGTGATGACTCTCGAGGTCCCTGGCTCCACGCGGCTCCCTACCGGGGAGCATTGACAGTCCCTGCCTGGCCTCTGGGGACGGTTGAGTCCAGTGATCCAGGATTTTGTCCTTTTGTGTCCACCAAGGAGGGGTGCTCAGAGAGGGGTCCCCGCAGGAGTGCCACGCCTGGGACGCTGGCAGTGGAGGGGCCAGGGATCGGGGGCTGGGCCTCCCCGCCTCTCTCCTCCCCACCCTTAAGGGCACAGACGCCCCCGGCCGCCCACCCACCCAGCCACTCGCCACCCTCTGGTCTTCTAAAGGAAGGACCGTGCACTGCCAAGAGGTGGGAGCTGTGTTTGCATTTGGAGGAAAGGGGACCAGAGTGGGGTGTGCAGAGCGCAGTCCTGGACAGCTGTTGTGGGGCTGGGCGCCAGCTGTCCCTCCTCCCTGTGGGCAGGGGAGGAAGTGGTGGTGTCCCATGGAATCCCGGGTTCTGGGGGCTGGCGAGGCGGGGAGGGGCTCGGGGAGGCCCGGGGAAGGGCTGGTGACTATTCCTGCCACGTGGGCCCCTTCCCGCCTGGCCCCTGTAACCCGGAGCAGCCGGCTCTCGTGTGGGGGTGGCAGCCACCCGGGCACCGTCCCCACTGCCTCCGAGGGAGCAGACCCCGCTGGGCTGCGGGGCGGGGGTCAGGTGGTCGTTTCCTTGTACGAGCTGACAGTGTCGCATGGGGAAAATGCAGGGGGGCGGGAAGACGGAGAAAGTGGGTGCGTGTAGACTCCACGGGGGAGCTGGACCACCAAGTGGCTGGAACTGTGGGCTTTGGCATCAGATTGATTGATGGATAGTCTAGCCCTGCATCTGACTGTCTGTGCCGTCGGGCCTGTTGCTCAGGCACCCCGTGCCTCGGTTTCCCCTTCTGCACCAGGGGGTAGTAGCAGGGTTATGGCAGAGTAAATGTGACAGGGTAAGCCCAGCACCTGCTGGCGGTGAAGGCTGCAGTGTCAGCTGCTGGTGTCGGGATTCACGTGCTGTCTCTGGGTCCGATTGGCTGTGGGGTTTGGTCGTTGTCACTATGGATGTGTCCCCTGCTGCTGCTGCTGCTGCTGGTGGTCGGGTGTGTGCCTTGGATGGGGGTGAGGAGGAGTAAAGAGCGTCACGACAAGGAGGTTAAGGCCCCTCGTGACCTAGGACGTTGCAGATGGATGCAGCTGGGGGGGGGTTGCGTGGTTTGCTGGGGGCCCTGGCGAGACGGAAGGGGCCGTGCCCGCCACGCTCCGGCCCGTGTCCCTCTGCCCCAGAGCTCACGGCTCCCGGTGCCTCTGCAGGTCAGCTAGCACGGGGCTGCCCCTCTTTCGTGTTGAGCGGTGAAAGGACAGGAAGTCCCCCGGGGCCCCGTGCCACCTTCCCCTGCCGCTGTCAGCGGGACACACGCCGCGTGTTCTCCAGCCGCCTGCTCACCGCCCACGCCCTCCTTTCTTTATTTTTCAGCCTTGAAAAGATCTTTTGAGGTCGAGGAGGTCGAGACACCCAACTCCACCCCGCCCCGGAGGGTCCAGACGCCGCTGCTGCGGACCACCGTGGCCAGCTCCACCCAGAAATTCCAGGACCTGGGCGTGAAGAACCCGGAGCCGCCAGCCCGCCATGTAGACTCCCTGAGCCAGCGCTCGCCCAAGGCCGCCCTGCGGAGGGTGGAGCTCCCGGGGCCCAAGGCGGCCGAGCCTGTGTCCCGGCGCACGGAGCTGTCCATCGACATCTCGTCCAAGCAGGTGGAGGGGGCTGGGGCCACCGGGCCGTCCCGGTTTGGCCTCAAGAGGGCCGAGGTGCTGGGCCACAAGACGCCGGAGCCGGCCCCCCGAAGGTCGGAGATCACCATCGTGAAGCCCCAGGAGCCGCCGGCTCACCGGAGGATGGAGCCCCCCGCCTCCAAGATCCCCGCCGAGGTGCCCGCCGCCGATGCAGTCCCCAAGAGGGTGGAGATGCAGGTGCCCAAGCCAGCCGAGGCGCCCGCTGCCCCCAGCCCGCCCCAGCCCCTGGAGAATTCCGAGCCCACCCCCTTGTCTCAGCTGCAGAGCAGGCTGGAGCCCAGGGCGCACCCCCCCATGGCCGAGGCCCCACCCCGGAGCCAGGAGGGTGAGTTGCTGAGCAGCAGTGATCGTGGGAAGTGGGGACGGTGGGGGTTGCTTTACCTCGGAGCCTCGGGAAGGTGCTGGGTGTGGGTGGGGACACGTCCATGGAGACCAGGAAAAACCACAGTACGTGGGGTGGGGTCCGAAGACTCAGGGGAGGTGCTGTGGCTCTCTCTGTCCACTGGGGACGCTCTCAGTTGCCACAAGTGGGACTCGAATGACGCTCTGGGAAGAATCTGGCTTGCAAGGAGTCCCTTTACTGGTCCGTGTGGGCCGTGGTGGCATCTCTGCTGGGTGGCCCCCACAGCGCGGGCCTGCGAGGCCGGGCGGGTGAGGAGCGTGCAGGGACCGGGTGGGCTCGTGCCGGGGGTGCAGGACGGGGTGGGGCGGAGACCCTGGCACGGGCTCACACGACGAATCGCAGGCTGCCTGCAAGTGCCCGGGCTCAGGGAGGAGGGGACTTGTGTCCTGGTGAGTCGGAGGGTCTTCCTCCTCCTCACGCTGGCCCTCTGAGCCTGGTCTTCCTCTTCCTCTTCCTCCTCCTTGCCTGGGAGGACATGAAGAACCCCTTAGCCTCTGCAAGCTGAGATTCTCAGGGCTGCTGGGAAGGGGTGTCTGGACCGGGGGTCCCGCGATACCCACCCACAGCTTCATTTGGGGGTGCTCTTCTGGTGAGGGGCGGGACGTGAGGGTCTCTGGCTGTGTCCTCGGAGGGCTCAGGCTGCGGTTGTCCTCACGAGGAGGGCTTGCAGGGAAGTTGGTGCCGGTCCTGTGGGACACGGGGCCTGCTCGGGAACCCCGGGGCCGTGCGGCACTGTTCGTGGCCTTTCTCAGGAGCGACCCCCCCAGCCCCGCAGGGATCCTGGCTCCACGGGGGCCACGTTAAGCCGCCAGCTGGGTTATGAGCCCCTCGAAAGCTGGGTCCAGTTCTGGGTGCAGGACTCGGAACTCGGGGTACACGTTCAGCAAGTGTTCTTTGGGTTGGACAAACAGAACACTCTGGGCTTTTGCTTTACCTTTTACATTGCCGTGTCTACTTTTGGTGAAATGCGCATACTGTGAGATGGAGAAACGCAACGTTTGTGCGCTTCGTGTCTGACATTTCATTGGGCACGGCGTCTCCAAGGTTCGTCCGTGCCACGCCGCGGGTCGCAGCTTCCCTGCCTTCGCAGGCACCTGGCGTCCCTCTGCGTGGCTGCGTCACGTTTATCTGCGCGTCTTTTGGTGGACACTTGGGTGTCAGGTGTTTCCAATTCTTTTGGGTCTTCCTGTCTGAACGGGAGCTCTCCAGTGCCCAGTGGACCCGGGGCCTGGGCGGGGCCGCGCACGTCCAGCCACGCTCCCCGCGCTGGCACCCGCACCTGGAAGCCGCGTTTGACGCAGCAGGTCTGGGCCCGGGACTCTGCGTTTGCTGCAGTGCCCGGCATCAGACTCCACTCTGAAGAGCCATAGCGGAGGCTTACGGGTCCCCCAGCCCTGGGTGTGAGTCTGTCTGTCCCCCGTCTCTCCACACTGGACCCGGCGGGACCACCCCGCCAGACGCAGCGACGGCGGCTGCAGGTGGCGTGGTGTCGGGGCAGAGGCACAGGCAGTTAGTTCGCAGAGCGGCCGGGGGGCTGCTTCCTCTCCCCTCGGCCTCCTGTTGGTCCAGGACCTTCGTTTGACATGGCGGATACCCCTCCCCCCAGGGTGACGCGTTCACACTGGCTGAGTCACACAGGATGTGGCTGGGGAGGTGGCTGTCACTAGCCCCGTACAGAGGGTGGTGACAGCTGGTGCCAGATGCATGAGGAAGATGGTCCTGGCCCCGGGGGACGGGTCGGAGGGACTCCATGTGGGTGCACAAGAACGTCTTGCCCCCACGGCAGATGCTGCCCAGTCCCCGTCTGTGCCGGGAGGCGGGCCCTGGGGGCGAGTCCTGCGTGAGGAGCCGCCCTCCAGAGCTCGCTGAGCGTGGGCAGGACAGACGGGGGCCCAGCTGCCGGGAGCGGCATGACATGGGGAGGGTGAGGGAGCCGCCTGGCCTGTCTGTGCCCAGCTGCTGGGAGCGGCATGACATGGGGAGGGCGAGGGAGCCGCCTGGCCTGTCTGTGCCCAGCTGCTGGGAGCGGCATGACATGGGGAGGGCGAGGGGGCCGCCTGGCCTGTCTGCTCGCTTGCAAAGGGGAGAGAACGGCGCCCCACGCGGCGTCCAGAGCCCTCTGGAGCCTGGTGCTCTGGGGCCGGTGGGATTTCTCCGTGGGACACAATGGAAATGTCGGAGCTGGGCGTCCTGGGCCCTGCTGCCCTCAGACAGGCGGGCTCCAGCTCTGCCTGCAGAGGGCCACAGGGCAAGAGTCCTGAGGGCCTGCACACTGCCGGCAGGGTGGGGAAGGCAGGGACACCTGAGGGCAAGGGCTTCCGGATGGAGGGCCAGGCCTGAGCTCCTGCCCGCCCTCCTCCAAGGCTGTGCGTGCTTCACCCTGCCCCCGGCTCAGCCTGTCCAGTCCCACCACAGATCCTGACACAGATCTCCTTCTCTCGGCCTCGCTCCTTGCCCACTCCTCCTGCACACCTGGCATGGCCGTCCCCTTCCGCCCCGCCGTGGGGCTGGGTTGGGAGCTCCCCGAGCCCCCACATGCACGGCTCTGATGGCTCTCTGGGATCTCCCTGGCCCTTGGGCCCAAGGCCCGGCTGGCATTGCAGGGGGGTGGGACTGGGGACAGAGGGAGCTCCCTGCTCTCTGAGCAGACACCCAGCCTGGCGGTTCTACCCCCAGGAAAGGTCCGGGCTGTGGCCTGTCTCCACCCCAGGGCTGCGGGGCACATGGGCGCCTTGGGCGGGTGGGGCTGCGGGACCCAGGGCTGCGCCTGCAGGGCGGCCGGCTCAGCCTCCCCTGGGCAGTGGCCCCCCTCGGGCTGCGACACCAGCCAAGTTTCCCGGAGGCTGCCTTATAAGGTGGCACACCCGCTCCCTGGAGCGCCTGGGCCCTGCCTGCTCGGGGTGCTGCTTGCGGCCGCGTGGAGGCCCACGGAGCCTGGCTGAGCCCTGGGTGTGTTCCGGCTCCACCCCCTGAGCCAGCAGGTTCTGAACCGCCACCTCACCCCTGCCAGCCTCAGTTTCCTGATCTGTCAAGTGGAGGAGGGGTGGGGGCCTGCCGGCCCGAGATAGGCACCACACGGGAGGCCACGGGGGTGCCAGGGGCCGCTTGTGACCGGTGTGAGATCAGGGTGGGGCGGACGCCGCGAGTTCCCCACTGGAGTTTCCCTTTGACTAAGAGAGTCTAGAGACGTTGTCGGCCGTGGGTGGGCGTTGAGGCAGGTGGAGGTCAGGCCCCCGCCGCTGTGGTGGGCGTGAGTCTCTGCACACTTGCTGTGGCCGGGCCGCCTTGCGCACCGTGCCTGGGTGCCGGGTCTGCACTGTGGCCCTTGTCCCGTGTCCCGGGTACAGAGCGGGGAGGAGTCTTGGTACCCACGGCGGGGCTGTGAGTGCACAGTGGGGTCCAGTGGGAAATCAGAGCACAGGGTTCCCGGGGACCCCCGGCGGCGGCAGGCAGGGATGGGGAGGATGGGCAGAGGCTTTGGGGACGAGGGGGCTGAGCTGGGTCAGAGGGTGAGGAGCGTCAGACGCTGAATCCCGAGAATGTGCTGGGCCCAACTGGGGAGGACACGGTGGGGCCCAGAGTTCCTGGTGGGGCACAGGGGGTGTGAGTTGGGGAGAAGCGGCCACCACGTGATTTAGGGAGGAAGGGCCCGGGCTCCACAAGGGCTCCGTAGACAGCCCCCCACCCTGTGTTTACAGGACACCCCACTTTCCTTGGGGGCCGCTCTGGGCCCGTCCCTGGCTGTGGAGCCCCCGAGGGCGAGGAGGGCTGAGGCCCGTTCCCAGCAGGGCGCACGGCAGGGCCTTGCTAAGTGTGGGCGGCCTCGCTCGAGTCTGATGAAGATGCCTCTCTCCGCGCCTCGAGCACTTAGCCTGCAGATTTCTCCAGGAGGACGTTCCTGCCGGGCCGTCTCCCCCGAGGACCCCACTGTTCCCGGTTCCTCCCTCTGTCCTCACGCGCCCCACGTCCCCTGTTACTTTGGGGTCGGGTCTGTTTCTCTTCCCCTCTTTAAGAACAAGCACACTCCTCCTCTGAGCTGTCCCTGGAGCTTCTCGCCCCCGTGCACGGGGATGGGGGGGCAGGAGGGCCGGTGGGGGAGGACTGGCCAGGCCAGGTGTGTCTCCTTCAAGGTGAGGCAGGGTTAGGGGCAGCGAGGACAGAGTCTGGCTCCAGGGCCCGGGAGAAAGGCGCCTCCCCTTGCAGGCCCGCCCCGCTGTCCGTCACACCCGGGCGGCGGTGAGAGGGACGGAGGCCGCCCGGGGAATGTGCCGGGCAGCTGGGGAGTGCCTTAAATAGAGCAGGCAGCTGCGGAGCGGGGTTGGGGGGGCCTGGAGGCGGGGTCCCCGCCCCGCCTCCTGCAGCTCTGTGGCCCTGACCACCCAGCCTGGCCCCAGGATGGAGCCTGGCCCCGCACACATGGCGCTGGGCGAGGCCTCCTCCGGGTGCTTGTCCCTGGAAGCCGGAACAGCTGCTGGGGAGAGAGGAGCCGTGTCTGCACCGCCGCCGCCCAGGCCCAGGACAGCTGCCGGGGACGAGGTCTGCACAATGGCCTGGCTGTCCAGGGGGCGTGCCCGGCAAGACAGCTGTGCTCTGTGTGGCGTGGACAGAGGGCACATTCAGCCCTGGAGGAGGGAGGGCGCTCAGACTGCCCACCCGGGGTCTTGAAGTGTGGGCAGTCCCTGACCAGGCCCGGGATTCCGGCAGGCGGGCCTGGAGGATGCCACGTGGTCCACACTGGCCTGGAGTGTCACCTGCCTGTCTGAGAGTGGCAGGGGAGGCACTTCCCTGGGCTGGACTCCACTTCCTCTAGGGGCTTTCTGTGGGTGTGATAGGTGCCCCCACCCAGTCCAGGGGACCCCTGGGGCTCCGGGCTTTAGCTGCAAGGGCAGCCCTTGCCCGGGACTGAGCTGCTCCCAATTCTC